TGTTTTGGTCTTTTTGTTTCCTTTTTGGCTTTCTGAGTGTCTCTTTTGATTGGTAGGTAGATGTTATTTATCTCTATGTGCATGTTAATGGCCTACTTGTCTGACTGCCAGACTTCCATGAATTCTCTAACATTTTTTTTGGACGGCATGGTCTAGGATGCTCAGTTTTCCAATTGAAATTATGGCTAAGTCTGTCCACATGTTGATAAATTAAAGAGTTCTTATGTCTCCTGATTGCTAGTTGGTGTTTGTGGATGCTCGTCACAAGTCTTCTGTCTGTTTCTCCTACATAATGGGTGTTACACTCCTTATGCTGTAAATGACTCATTTTTTCTGGCAGTGCTGGTTTTTTTGGTGTATGCTTTGGAGGGTTGTAGTTGGTTTGTGTGCTACAATGATGTCATGTGGTAATCTGTTGGTGGTTTTAGGGATTTGGTGGTTTTGGGGATGGCAACTTCAAATTTCAACAAACAAATGCTTTGTCTTACATATTGGCAAGAAAAATCAGAAAATAAAATACAAGCTGGACGGACAAGACCTTATAGATGATCAAGGATCTTGGAGTTCTCATCTCTGATGATCTAAGTACTAAAGCCCACTGTAACATTGCCAAAAAGGCATTAAGAATTGTTAACTTAGTCCTGCGAAGCTTTTTCTCCGGTAATATTGTACTACTAACTAAAGCATACAAAACATTTGCTAGACCAATTCTTGAATACAGCTCATCTGTCTGGAATCCGCACTGCATACTGGACATTAATACAATCAAGAGAGTCCAGAAATATTTCATGAGATGATTCCTCCACTCCTCTACTCACAACAGAATACCATATGCCTCCAGACTTGAAATTTTAGGCTTAGATAACTTAGAGCTAGGCCGCCTTCGGTCTGACCTAAGCATAGTACATAAAATTACCCATTACAATGTGCTACTCGTCAATGACTACTTCAGCTTCAACCTCAACAATACACGAGCACACAATAGATACAAACTCAGGGTAAACCACACAAAACTTGATTGCAGGAAATACGACTTCCGCAACAGATTGGTCAATGCCTGGAATACTCTACCTGACTCTGTAGTTTCTTCCACTAACCCCAAACACTTTAACCTCAGTCTGTCTACTGTTGACCTCACCCCATTCCTAAAAGATCTATAAGGGGTGTGCATAAGCACACCAACCTGCCTACTGACCCTGTCTTAATGTTCCCTTTTATTCGTATCTATTTCATGTATTAATAATCATGTTTATACTTATACTTCTTCCCTCTTTTATCTTTCTTAGTTTTATTTTATTTATCTCATCTCAATTCAATTCATAATACTTATCATTCTTTGTGTTCTATTTCCAGCTATCCATTCATCTTTTCTCTTTAAATATATTTCTCCTGTACACTGATTGGAGTGACGCCTTTGACTCTTTCCCCTAACTTAATAATACTTAATATAACACTTAATTTATATTGGGATTCTGTTTAGTACATTCTAAAATTACACAATAAATTTTATGAGAAGGGCAAAAACACAACAATAACAAAATAAAAGCATATAAGACCACTATCAATACCATTAAAAAGCTAATCATATATATTGATACTCATTTATATCTTAAACATTTTATTCTAAATACACATATAAAAACACAATCTTATGTACCTTCCAGAATCCCTTTTTCAATTATATTTACCCATTGTCTCTAAATAAGTTTTGTTTCTTTAATTCTTGCTTCCTACCATTAAGGCTTCTCATCCCCTCCTTTCTCTCTTGCTTATTCTTCTCCTTGCCCTTTTTACCCCTTTGTCTCTCCTCCTCCCTTTTCTTCTTCTGCTTTCCCCCTTTCTGTTGTTTTCTAACCTTGTATCCACCTTTCATCTCATTTTTCTCTTTTTTGGTTGTTTTTTCAAGCCTTAAAATCCCCTTTTTCTTTTCCTCTTTCTCCTCCTCCCCAAAAAGAACCAATTGTTCATCAAAGATGGCTTCTTCTTCTTCTTTGTCCCAGTCATCCTGCTGCGTAGTCAATTTTTCATAAGTGCATACCGCCATTTCTAGAAATTGAAAAAGAGTGCCCAAAGTATCTTTTCCATCTTGTTCTTCTTTTTTATATTTTTGATATTCAATTTTTAGTTCATCCACAAGCGATGCCATCGTGAAGAGAATTTTTTTTTCCAAAACAACCACCCAAGTATTTTTAATCAAGAATAATTCCAAAAAGTTCCAAAGTCACCAAAGAATCCAAATAAACTATTTCTTTTAATACTTTTTTTCTTTCTTCTATTTCTCTTTCTGGGGTTACTGTTTAATCAAAGAGTTCCAATTAAGATATGTCTTTCTTTAAAGTTCTAGGCAATCTCCTCCTTTTTCAAATTCTGCTCCAATTTTTTTTCCCTCTCTCTTCCCACTTACAACAACAATTTTCCTTTCCTTTCCGTTCAGAAATCCATACCTCCAATGCAGGTTTTCCGATTTCTTGTTAAATCCAATGTCCAGGAATCCTTTATCCCTTGGCTTTAACTTTCAAATTAAGTTACCTTCGGTGCCCAAATAGATTTTCCAAATCTCCGTCTGCTATTTCTATGGGGTGGGAGAGTGAAGAAAAAAAAACTTTCCCTTGACAGCTTTCTCCGCCGCTTTCCAATCTTCTTAGGGATACAATGTCTCTTTCAGGCAATTCAAGCAATTCAGTTTCCAGGATGTTTAAGAGTTGTTATTGTCCCAGCTCAGCCAGCACTTTCACTTCTCCTGCTTCCTCCAGCACAAATCTTACCTGGCTGCAGGCTTCTTTGTGGCGGCCATTACTGACCGCCGCTCCACCACCTTGGGAAAAAGGGGTTTTCCCAGCTGAGGAGGGGGTCTGCGACACCCCCAAACCCCTGTCTGGATCCCCTCTCTCTTCGGCTGCCTCTACAGGGCAGCCATATCCCCCTGACCCATTTGGATCGGGGGCACCTTGGCGGCAAGCGCAGCAGGAATCGCGGACAGCCGCGAATTCCTGCTGCTGCCAAAGCCACGCAAAACCGGAAAGAGTGCTCAGGCACATTTTGATGAAGTTTGTGGGTATCCATTTGTTGGATGATGTTGTATTGATGATCTGTTTCCTTTTTTTGATGTTCAGGGTTGCTGCAATGTGTTTGTGCACATCTAAATAGGGTTGTTACACAGCTTCTCTTGTGGTTAGGTCGTTACTTTAGTAGTGGAGCACTTGGTTGGTAAGACTTTTGTTTTTAATTTGCCATCACTGCCTCTGCTGATGAGGCTATCCAGGAAGGGTAGCATGCTGTTTTCTTTTTCCCTTATGAATGTTATTCCTTTGAAGATGTTGTTGACAAGAGATAGATAGATAGATAGATAGATAGATAGATAGATAGATAGATAGATAGAGATAAGATAGGTAGGTAGGCAGACAATAAAAATATGCTATCCTACAAAAGCCTATGCTAAGCAATTTTCAAGGCACACATACCATGCTAAACCATAAACTAAATCTGAATGTGAAGAACTAAAATGTGGTTAGCTACCTTGTGGCTGAGTATGTTGTGCAAAGCCCAAAAATGTGGTTGAATAAAATTATAGATACTTGGAACTAGCTTAAGGGATCTTGCAGATATAGCCAGACTGTTGGATGTCTATGCAACTAAGCGTAAAGCTGCACTCTTGAGAAAGATAAACAGATATTGTTTGCCACCATTTTCTCAGTGTGCACTTCCATATTCATGTAAAAAAAAGCCAGGTAAACACTAGATGCTCTAGTGTTATTTCAAATGTCCACATGAAGCTTATGCACAAGCAAAAGAAACTACTGAGAGGTTCCTGGTGTTCTCTGTGCTTGTTTTCTTACAGATGTTTCATTACGCAAACTAGGCAACATCATCAATGGTCATGAGCACTGATGATGTTACCTAGTTTGAGTAATGAAATGTTTGCAAGAAAACAAGCTGAGAGCGCACCAGGGACCCCTCATTTCAACCCTGAACTACAAATATTCTCCTTTGTTAGAAACTACTGATTTAATAGGAGTTACCGTATTTGCCGGCGTATAAGACGACTTTTTTGCCCCGAAAAACATGCCTCCAAGTGGGGGGGTCGTCTTATACGCCGGTATATCCACTGCCGGCTTTCGGATGCTTGTTGGACGCAGCGAAGGCGCCTCTGGCTTCCCGGATCCCCTGCGTCGCTTCCGCTTCATCCCGCTCGCCTCGCTCCGCCCGAGGCTGCAGCCTTCCTGCTCTTCCCACGGCCCCTGGCACTCCGCCCTGCCGCTGCAGCCCCGGGGATTTCTGGAGGGCGTTTCTGGTGGTGGTGGGGGGTCGTCTTATACGCCGGGTCGTCTTATACGCCGGCAAATACGGGTATATCAATGTTAATGCCCAAGCGCGCGCGCGCACACACACACACACACACACACACAGGGTGAGGAAAAAATTTGCACAGCCATATAATCTAACAGTTTATTTTCAGGTTTATTTTCTGTTTTCTGTATATGACACCAGCCAGAGCATTAACAAACTCAAATAAAACAGTGCAAGATTGGAAGATGTGGGAGAGGCTGTGAGTAGAGGCTAATATTTGGGAGGCTGTGAGTAGAGGCTAATATTTGGCATAGACTCTCCTGCTCAAGCAGGGGGCTGGACGAGATGACCTCTAAGGTCCCTTCCAACTCTGTTATTCTATGCCTATGTCTATGTCAGAACTGGCCCAGAGAACCGACTTAATGGATAACACCATCTCTAGATGAAAAGTCGCCTGTATCCTCTCACAACTCCGAAAGTTTATTTAAGTGCACGTCATCCCCCCCCCCCCACCATATCTTTTCAATTATATTCTTAAAACTCGCCTTTTAATATTTCAGAACCCCCAAACCCTTCCAACGTACAAGTGGCCACTGAACACCTCCGCTTGCAAAGCGCCAGCCCCCTCCCGCTTCCAATCGCGCCCCTCTCCCGTCTCCTTTAACGCGGCGGCGGAAGCGTCGCGGTGCGCGGGTCCGCCGTCCAATGAGTTTGTGCAGTGCATCCTCCGGCTTGGCCGAGCTGGGCCCGTCACTTCCTGCCCTAGGAGCCGGCACGACTGAAGCCGAAATTTTGGGCAGAAGGGGGGGCGGGGACGTTGCGTTGCGTCTGCCACCAACATGCCCTTTGATTTCAGGAGGTGAGTGCGGCGACCCCCGGAAAGGGGTGCGGGAGAGCGAGAGCCGAATGAATGAATGGCTCCCCGGCGCTCAGGCAGCGTCCGGGAGACTCTCCTCTCATCACGCCCCTTCTATGCTGGGATCAAGAACGGTGACCTTTCCCAGTGGTGGGTAGCCCTGATGCCCGGGGTGAAATGTGCTTCTCTGCACAGAGAGGACGTAAGAGGAAGGGGGTGTGAGCGAGCCTAGTAAATTGATGGGGTTAAGTAGGTTCGAGCGGTGCCTATGGGAAGAAAAGAGACACGTCGCGTGGGTATAGCCAGCTGAACTTTTACCCCCGTGGTTTACCTTCCACCCGCAAATATGAATGATGAAGTGGGAGTAAGCAGCACGTGGATTCAGGTGTGGATCTGGCTTGAAGAAAGAAACCTGTGATTTCCAACGCGATTGCCAACCTGAAGGAAAACCTGGGCATGATTAGAAGTATTACAAATGGCCCATTTGTTTCTGAGTCTCTTGAATTTTATTCAAAGTTGTGGCTACAGGTAGTCCCTGACTTACATCAGTTTGCTTAGTGCCCATTCGAAGTTAACAGTGGCACTGAAAAAAACTGACTTAGGACCATTTTTCACATTTATGACCATTGCAGCATCCCCGTGGTCACCTGGTTTACATTTGGATGCTTGACAGCTGTTTCACGTTTATAACGATTACAGTGTCCCGGAGTCATATGATTCCCTTTTTGCGACCTTCCGACAAGCAAAGTCAATGGGGAAGCCAGATTCACTTAATTAATTTGGGCAATTAATTTAACAATTGCAGTGATTCACTTAACAGATGTGACAAGGAAAGTCATAAAATGGGCCAAAACTCACTGAACAAATTTCTCATTTAGCAGTATAAATTTTGGGCTCAATTGTTGTTGTACATTGAGGACTACCTGTATTTAGGATGTTGAAGGATGTGTTATATTGATTATCAAGTGTCTTATTTCTATGCATTTCTGGCCAGGAATCATTTTAATGGGGTAAATCTGTATAAGCTTGTATCTAGAACGGTATAGGTATGGGTTGAAAAGGAAAGCTGAATGAGCAAAAAGCCACATAACTCCAAGACATAAGAGAATACATTTGCATGCCATGCTAAGCCCTGATGAATAAATTGGAGACCTAATATGGTGCACTGGTTAATAAAATAGAATGGAATACTTTATTGGTCAAGTGTGATTGGACATACAAGGAATTTGTCTTGGTGTAAATACTCTCAGTATACCGTATTTGCCGGCGTATAAGACGACCCGGCGTATAAGACGACCCCCCACCACCACCAGAAACGCCCTCCAGAAATCCCCGGGGCTGCAGCGGCAGGGCGGAGTGCCAGGGGCCGTGGGAAGAGCAGGAAGGCTGCAGCCTCGGGCGGAGCGAGGCGAGCGGGATGAAGCGGAAGCGACGCAGGGGATCCGGGAAGCCAGAGGCGCCTTCGCTGCGTCCAACAAGCATCCGAAAGCCGGCAGTGGATATACCGGCGTATAAGACGAGCCCCCCACTTGGAGGCATGTTTTTCGGGGCAAAAAAGTCGTCTTATACGCCGGCAAATACGGTACATAAAAGAAAAGATACATTCGTCAGGAGTTGAGAATCATAAGGTACGACACTTAATGCTAGTCATAGGGTACAAAACGACGCTATAGAACACTGCACACCAGAACAACTAGACACAAGGACAGTTTTTTCCTGAAACCATCACTCTGCTAAACAAATAATTCCCTCAAACCTGTTCAACTATTACAAAGTCTGCACTACTATTACTGTTAATCTTCTCATCACTCCTTATCACCCTCCCACTTGTGATTGTAGGACTGTAACTACTAGGACTGTAACTTTGCTGCTTGTATCCTTACGATTTATATTGACTGTTTCCTAGTATGATTGATTGCTTATGTCCGGGATGTGAGAGGTCTGTAAATATTTTCACAGCCCTCTTTTTGTCTCGTGCAGTATACAGGTCCTCAACTAAAGGCAGATGGGTAGTAACTGTTTTTTCTGCAGTCCTAATTACTCTCTGAAGTCTGTATCTGTCCTGTTGGGTTGCAGAGCCAAACCAGACAGTTTTATAGAGGTGCAGATGACAGACTCAATGATTCCTCTGTAGAACTGGATCAGCAGCTTCTTGGGCAGTTTGAGCTTTCTGAGTTGGCACAGAAAGAACATTCTTTGTTGTGCTTTTTTGATGACATTTTCCCCCATTTTGTTTGTCTTACCATTATTATTATTTGATTTTTATCATATTCTTTTTTATTGTGCTGTGATTCTTATGCTTTTTTAAAAAAATTGTCTTACTGTGGCCAATTTATTGTTACAATTTGATCAATGATACAATCATAAAATATTCTCAGAGAAATCAATTACAAATATTATTGTATTGCCAATATACAAGGGTACAGCTTATTACAGTAAATAACAATTTCTTTCCTAGTAGGTGGTAGAAATCTGAAATATTCTGTTTATTGTAGGAAAATGAACTGAATCACTGAGGTTCCCAGATGTTCTAATAGTCTGTTTTTGGAGAGCAGCTTCTGATTGCTTCTCTCTATGAGTCAAAAAGTTCCACAATCAGACCTGAAGCCTCAGTTGTCCTATTATGATAGTGTATTTCCCAGAGTATTCCCTTTCATTTACTGTAGGTTCATTTCATCTTGAAAGGTGGGGGGGACATCTGAAATTGCCCTTCAAGAAAGAAATTTGCTTTTATTATGTAATAATAGGTGCGTCTGTAGTATTGTAAGGTATGACATAACCAAACTCAGAAATAGCAAGTTTGAAAGAAGCGAGGGTGTGGCAGACACAGAATGGTAGCATAAAAGGTGTGTAGAATTTGGACATAGTTCTAAACCTATTATTATATAATTGTATGTTGCTCTTCCCTGGGTGTGTAGGAAAAGGAAATCAGAAGGTTTTCTTAAATAATTTGTGCCTCCTGAAATGAAATGAAGTGAGGCAACACGATACAAGACAAATAATGAAAGCATATGACAATGGCAGTTGATGCACTTGTAATTTAACAGAGAAATATGGTACTAAATATTTGAATCTTTAATCCAAGTAGTGCAACTTACTTGTGAAGCTGTCAAAGTACATTACATGCCTTAAGAGCCTAACAGATCTTATCATCTTCAGTATAAATATTTATGCAGAGTTGGTTGAGAAGGAAATGGTATATCTTTTAGAGCTCTGAAATTTTGCCCCGATTGAAAAAGATAATGATAAGCCACAAAATTCTTATGCTGTTTAAATAGACAGTGTTAATTTGACAGTAATACTGTACTTTCAAAGATTGCTGATACAGCTTCCTATAGATTCATTTTTAATTTAATTTTTATACCATTTTTATAGATTTAATTTAGTTCCAAACCTCCAATTTTGCTTTATAATTCATCACTGTTATTAGAATTGCCTCTTTCTTGAGGAACTCAAATGACAAACAAGAAAATATATCGTTTCATCTGAACTCACTGGTATAATGAGTATAGTGAAGCCTGGATTTAGTGGACTTTGATTTGGTCTATGACTTTAATTGCCATAGACCAAATACTTGCCCTGGTATATGTAATTTGCATAATAGTGTCATATGCAAATAGTGTAATATCATTTGATAACATATTTTTGTGTTTGGGTCATTCCATGTCAAGTGGTCTGGGGATCCCTACTCGACCATCACGGATTTTGATGAAACTTTGTGTGAACATGCACACATTTTATTTATTTATTTATTTGATTTGCCAATTGTTTACAAGATAATAAGTATAAGT